GCCCGAGGCAGAGTTGCTCTGCCCCGGGCTTCCTGGAATCAGCCGCTGATCAGTTTCAGCAGCAGCTGACTTGGGGACGCTTGGGGTTCTTATGTTGATTATGTAAGGCAGAACTGACGGTCAGTTTCAGCAGCGGCTGAATCTGGACGCCAGTTCCGACTTACATACAGATTCAACTTAAGAACAAACCTACAGTCCCTATCTTGTACGTAACCCGGGGACTGCCTGTACCTTCAATACAGTGTGTCTCTCAAATGTTTCACAAAAGAGAGCTGAGTGCCACTGTTATAAGTACACTGATTATGTATGTAAATATGGCAACTGTTTGCTTAACATATGTGCTGGAACATTAAAGTCTGATTTCCTGAGAAAAGAAATAGAAGCTTGGGTATGAGAGAGCTTGTTGTCCCACTTCTTGCAGAAATTACTAGGTAGCCCAGCCACTAAAGAAAAGTTAAACATTGTTACGTCTGTAAAAGTGAAGTATCTCTACTATATAAATTGAATTGACATGACTAGAAATTTGAAGTTTATATTTATTTAGTTTTATTTAACATTAAATCAAGATTTTTTAATTTCATGATCAACCCACCTTTCCAGCATGTTCAAAAAAGTACTATCCCCAACTGCCTACTTGGAGGGAAGAGGAGAAATATGGGGTCTTGATTGAGAAGGCTCTACCTGCTGCTCCTCAGTTGATCTTGAGTATTGATCCCGGAGGACCTGCGTGAAGGTGGTCCGACCAGAGATACGGGGATCGATTTTTAAGAGTAAGAGGTTTTGTTTTTAAAGCAGGGGTGAGGAACCTAATACCCCAGCTCACGTGAGTGTGGCCCTCGAGACTCAAGGTTCCCACACTAACGCTCTAGCTCCCCTCCAGATTGGTGATAGAAATGTAGCCGTGTTAGCCTGGGGTAGTTGAAGCAAAATGCAGGACAATGTAGCACTTTAAAGACTAACAAGATGGTTTATTAGATGATGAGCTTTCGTGGGCCAGACCCACTTCCTCAGATCAAATAGTGGAAGAAAGTAGTCACAACCATATATACCAAAGGATACAATTTAAAAAAATGAACAAATATGAAAAGGACAAATCACATTGCAGAACAGAAGGGGGATGCGGGGGGGTGGGAAGGGGGAGGAAGGAAGGTAAGTGTCTGTGAATTGCTGATATTAAAGGTAGGGAGAGTGGGATGTTTGTGAGTTAATGGTATTACAGGTGATAATTGGGGAAACTGTCTTGGTAATGGGTGAGATAGTTCAAATGTTTGTTAAGTCCTTGTTGGCAAGTGTCGAATTTTAACATGAATGACAGTTCAGAGGATTCCCTTTCAAGTGCAGATGTAAAAGGTCTTTGTAGCAGAATGCAGGTGGTCAAGTCATTGAGAGAGTGTCCTTTCTGGTTAAAATGGCAAGAAACTGTTTTTTCTTTGTGATCTTGTCTGATATCTGTTTTGTGGGCATTAATCCTTTGGCGAAGTGTCTGAGATGTTTGTCCAATGTACATAGCAGACGGACACTTTCGGCACATGATAGCATAGATTATATTTCTGGATGCGCAGGAATATGTGTTCTTGATCTTATAACTCACTTGGTTAGGTCCAATAATGGTATCAGCAGAATGAATATGTGGACAAAGCTGGCAACGGGTGACATCCCATGTAGAAAAGTCCCTGAGCATTTAGGGTTTGATCAGTCAAATTACTTGAAAATACAGAGGCAGCCAGTGGATCTTCCAGAGAAAAGATGTAATGTACTCACAGAACTATTCTATTTAACAAGTCAGTTGCTTCATTCTGTTCTAGTTTCATCTTCCAAATGGATTTAAGATGAAGCCTGTTCATTGCAGTAGTCTGATCCAATTACAAATCACTCTAGCCAGGTCTGAATCTATGAGGACATGTTGCAATCTCCAGGTCAAAAGCATATGGGAAGTAGCACTCTTGGTTCCTTCTACCTGATTCTGTGAAAACAGTTGGGCTATGTCTACATTGGCATGATCTTGCGCAAATACTCTCTAACGCAAGACTGCTTGCATTAAAGTACTTGCGCAAGAGAGCGTCTACACTGGTATGTCCTTTGCGCAAGAGATGTGCTTTTGCGCAAAAGCATCCGTGCCACTGTAGACATTCTCTTGTGCAAGAAAGCTCCGATGGCCATTTTAACCATCGGGCTTTCTTGCGCAAGAAATTCATATTGCCTGTCTACACTGGCCTCTTGCGCAAGAAGGGAGCATCATAGTTCTTGCGCAAGAAGCACTGATTTCACACATTAGAACATCAGTGTTCTTGCGCAAGAACTCCCCGCCAGTGTAGACGGGCAGCATGTTTTTGCACAAAAGCACATCTCAGTTTTGCACTGGCCAGCAATGTAGACACAGCCTGGCTGTGCCTGTGGCTGAGAAGGACTACATAAACCCTGTACACAGGTGGAAACTGTAAGTAACTCACTGGGCTTTTTGGGAAAGTGCTGTCTGGAACAGACTTCAGAGATATAGACTAAGTATGGGTCCAAAGAGAGGCAGAGTGACCAGCCCAATGAACCAGAGCTGCTGGCATTTGGTAGAGCCTACTTCAGTGGCAGAGGGATTTTGAAACTGTCTGCTCAGCTTGGACTAATACACATAGGACCTGCACAGTGCTGTCTCCACTCCAGCTACATACCTTCAAACATGCCCATGCAAGCGTCTGGGACTCTGACTCCAGAGGAATGCATATTATGGGGTGGGATAAATGGTGGCAGTGCAAATACCAGGTAGATAAGTTCTTATTATTTCTGTGTACTTTGTCAATTGATTTTATTCACTGTTAACCTGTTAAACCCTGTTTTCTTTAAATCACCCATTCTCCAGATACTTAAAGAAAAAACAGGAAGGGGGGTGGGAGACAGAGCATCATTCTCTTCCCCCTCTCCCCCTTTCCCTTCTTCTATTTATTTCCAGTATCAGAGGGGTAGCCGTGTTAGTCTGAATCTGCAAAAGCGGCGAGGTGTCCCGTGGAACCTTATAGACTAACTGAAGTGTTGGAGCATAATCTTTCGTGGGCAAAGACCCACTTCGTCAGATGCATGTAGTGGAAATTTCCAGAGGCAAGTATAAATATGCAGGCCAGAATATGGCTAGAGATGACGAGGTGGATCCAATCAGGGAAAAGCAGCCTGCCAATGTAGACGCTCCTTTTCTGGAAAAACTGAAAACGGAATAGTATTCCGTTTTAAGCATTTCCGGAAATTCATGCCAGCGTAGACACAGCCTTGGTGTTTAGCCACCCGCAACTCCTAAAATTTGCAGTGTTTGAGAGGGTTTGAACATCATTTGTAACTAAACAGTGTGGTTAGATGTAACCTACACTTACTCCTCAAGATCCCCTGCCCAACAATCATTTTCAATTTTTTATCAGGACTTCTATGGGCTGTTAAAAGTCAAGATGTGTATATGCTGGGAATTGAAATGGGTATTGTAACTGATTTCCACAGCACTATTAATGTTTCCAGTGAATTTGATGAAAGGTAGCTGTATTAGGTGCATCTTCCTTGTCAGATTAAAAAGCTTAGTTGCACATGCAAAATTATCAGAAATTAGCTGAATAAATTTGTGACAAATTGATGATTCTTCATAGAGTGTCATAAAAGTAGAGTTTGTTGAGGTTAAAACCTAGTACGACTAGCTAGTACTCAGCACTGGCTCCCTAGGCCAAGCACTTTTCCCTTTCTAATACCTTCCAAACTATTTATTGAAATCTTTCACACACACACACACACATACACCAGGGCTGTTGATTAATTTCTGTTAACTTTTTACTACCAGATTTGAGTCCTTCATTATTTTTTTAATACAGCTGCTTCATTTTAATCTTCGCTTTGAGGTGGGGCTATGGATCAGGGTTCAGTATGCAGACTGCCGTGGGAGGGAGGACTACTCCAGATCTCTCTCACTGAAGCTACTTGGGGCCTGGTGAGAAGAACCTGTCCAAGGCTGCTGCAAATCAAGTGGGCGCAGCCAGGGAAGGGGTGCATGTCCCCTGACTGGGGCAGATCCACGTTTATTTGCCTCCTGTGCTTGCCAGGCATGATAAGGAATGCAGCACACTGCACTTTCCTCTCCCTAATGAAGGGGAGCAGTCAGCAATGTCCCCATACTAATCTAGGGGGGGGGAGCTTAACCACCCTCCTTCCCCCATCCTCCCTAAAGAGTGCCCATGGGGTAAAAAACTCGGAGCTGGGCAGTCCTGTAAGGGAAAGGGTGTGGCCCTAGGCAGCCCTTTTCACCTGCCTGGTGATTGTCTCTTTTCTGTATGGTTTTATGATAAGTGATCCCATTCCAGGCACACCCTGTTTTCCTAGCACAACCAAACTTTTACCTTGCTTTAAGTTACAATAAGAAGAAGCTATATACCAAATTTGGAGATTCTAACTCTCAGGCTGTGTCTAGACTGGCAAGTTTTTCCGCAAAATCATCTGCTTTTGTGGAAAAACTTGCCAGCTGTCTACACTGTCCGTTTGAATTTCCGCAAAAGCACTGACGATTTCATGTAAGATTGTCAGTGCTTTTGCAGAAATACTATACTGCTCCCGTTCGGGCAAAAGTCTTTTTCCGAAAAACTTTTGCGCAAAAGGGCCAGTGTAGACAGCCCAGATTTGTTTTCCGCAAAAAAGCCCCGATCACGAAAATGGCGATCAGGGCTTTTTTGCGGAAAAACGCGTCTAGATTGGCACGGACGCTTTTCCACAAAAAGTGCTTTTGCGGAAAAGCATCCTGCCAATCTCAACGCGCTTTTCTGAAAATGCTTTTAATGGAAAGCTTTTCCGTTAAAAGCATTTCCGGAAAATCATGCCAGTGTAGACGTAGCCTCACTGTTTAGGAGGAGTTCTTGAACAGGTAGATGGACAGACAGAAAACTCAAATATACAGTAGATTATAAATATTTGAACTGTAAAAATAATATTTTTAAAAAGTGAAAACAGGTATTCACATGTCACTTTTGTAATCTGCATTGCATGGTATATACATACCAGATATCGTAAACATTGGCATACTCCTTCATGCTTTGTTCACCAGTTCAAAGGATATGTGCTTCCATGCTGATGAGGTTTATTTTAAAATATTATTAAATTTGTGATTCAACTACTTTGGGGAGAACTGTATACCTCCTGCTGTTTTACATGCATTCTGCTATGTATTTCATATTATTGCAGTCTTGGATGATGGCCTAGGACATTGTTCATTTTAAGAACACTTTTACTGCATATTTGACAGAAATGGAAAGAAGGTATCAATATGAGATTTCTAAAGATAGATGCTGCCCTCAACCCAAACTTTAAGAATCTAAAGTGCCTCCTAAAATCTCAGAGGGACAAGGTGTGGAGCATGCTTTCAGATATCTTAAAAGAGCAAGATTCTGATGTGAAAACAACAGAACCTAACCACCAAATAGGGAAATCAATCTGCTGGTTCCATCTGACTCAGATGATAAAAATGAACATGTGTTGGTCTACTGTTTTGGATTGTTATTGAGCAGAACTCACCATTATCTTGGATGCATGTCCTCTGGAATGGTGGATGAAGCATGAAAGGGCATATGAATCTTTAGCACATTTGTCATATAAATATCTTGCAGCACCGGCTATAACAGTATCATGTGAATGCCTGTTCTCATTTTCAAGTGTCATGAAACAACAAATAGGCAGCATTATTTCCTACAAATGTGAACACAGTTGTCTGAGCAATTGGCTGAACAAGAGATAGGGCTGAGTGGACATGTAGGCTCTAAAGTTTTACATTGTTTTATTTTTAATGCAGGTTTTTTTGTACATAATGCTACATTTGTAAATTCAAGTTTCATGTAAAGAGACTGCATTACACTACTTGTAATGGGAAAATTGAAAAATACTGTTTTACAGTGCAAATATTTGTTAGTGAGCATTGTACATTTTGTATTCTGTTGTAATATCAAATCAATATATTTGTAAATGTAAAAAACACCCAAAATATTTAAATAAATTGTATTCTATTAACAGCGTGATTAATGATGCAATTAGTCACAATTAAATTTTTAATGACTTGACAGCCCTAAAATATACATGTTATTCTCTGCAGTACTTCCCCACTATTGTAGTGCTCACCCTCTCTCCAGCTGAAGAGAGGTGAGTGTGTGTGTTCGCGTGTGGTATATTTCCCTTCCTAATCTGGTTAAAGTAGATTTTGAGCAATGCAACATACTTCCCCCCCTTTAACTCAAATTTTTATCAATAACTTCAAATCTTTAATTATGTTAAATCTTTTTAAAAAACATTTTGGTTCAATACTAGCAATGTGTAAAACCATTTTAATGTGTTTCTGGATACAGAAGAGTGAGAGCTTAGCTGTTTTGGAACTTGCACAACAAATCAAAGGATCTTTTGGGACACTAGATGGCAACATTGTTCTAGGGATTGGACAGCTGGTAGGTTTTTGTGTGCAGGATTGCTATTGCAGTTCTCTGTTTTATGTCTCAGTGGGGTAGCCGTGTTAGTCTGTAACTTTAAAAGCTAGTAGTTCTGTGGCACCTCTTCCTCCCACTTCCCTTACTCCTTGTAAAATGAGGGTTTCAGGAGTCAAAGTAAGAAGTCTTCCAGCTCGACAATATTTGGACATTATGTCAAAATAACTGCTTATAGTGTAGATGCAGACTATGTTATTTAGACTATGTTATTTTGGAATAATGTCAGTTATTCCAAAATAATGCTGCTGTGTAGACGTACCCTTAGGCTACGTCTACACTACAAGGTTTTTGCTCAAAAACATTTGTTTTTGTGCAAAAATCTGTGGAGCATCCACACCTCAAAAGAGGTCTTGCGCAATTAAATGGGCAGTTAAACGGCAGAACAGAGGGCTTTTTCTACCATAGGTAAACCTCCTTTTCTGAGGCATAACTGCTTTTAGCGCTACAGCTATTGTGCAAGAAGGCAAGTATGGATGCTCCAGAGGGTTTCCTGCGCAAGAAACCCCTATGGGAAAAAGAACAGGTGCTCTGATGGCCATTCTGTGAATGGCCATCAGAGTTTTCTTGCATAAGAGCGTCCATGCAGTATGGACGCTCTCTTGTGCAAAAGCACATGGCTTTTGCCATGTGCTTTGAGGTGTGAAGTGCTCTTGCGCAAGAAGTTTTTGTGCAAAAACTCTTGCACAAAAGGCTTCTTGTGCAAGAAGCATGTAGTGTAGATGTAGCCTTGGAGACTAACAAATGAGCTCCTATAACATTGCCCATAAAACTTAAGAAGCAGATCGAACCTATTGGTCTTGCCAGTTACACCCACAAGAACCTGACTTTCAGGAGAGAGGTCTCTAAAGAACTGCTGTTATTACACTGCCATAATTTCATTCTGTATTTTAACATGATCGTTCTCCAAATTTACCCTGATGTGAAAAGTTACATTCCATCCAAAGAAAGGGACTCAGAGGACAAAAAAAAAACAAAACAAAAAAACCTTGTAAAAAAAGTACTTGTTCAGCATATGATGTTGCAGGTGCTCTGACATACTATGCATTCACTCACCTCACACAATTCCATTCAATTATATTTTATTCACATTAAAATTATACAACTATTACTACATTGTGAAGGGCAAAAAAAGTACGTTGATAGCAAATGCATTAAACCATGAGCCAGGCAACTGTTTGGTACCATGGGGCAGGCAAATTCCCATTTTTTTTTTTAAAGTTCCATGCATACAATTACAAAAATAGGGGTCGATCTTTCTGTATGATAGCTGAAGATAGAGTTATAGGGCTTCCAACCAAACAATACATATAACAGCAGACACTGGGTAAAAAACAAATTTGGGCCATACTTTTGATTAAAAATAAATCATATTCACTCAGTTTGGGGTAATTTTTTAAATTAAAATAATGAAAAGTATAATCAATTGCCATGGCAACTACCAACAACCTAACAACAGGGGGCAGAAGCACACAATGCTTCATGTAAAAACATATTTTGATCCTACTGGCATTAAAATCATTATTTTTCAACTTACATCTTAGGTCATAGTACTTTACTGTGTCTAACTACCTTAAAATTGATTTTATGTATTTTTCCTCTGTCTGCTTTAGATTTGATTGTTATGAAGCTGTGGTTTCTGAATGAACAATGGAATCTGATTCAGAAGTTTCTAGAAAGGGTCCATGAACAGAGCAAAAGTCTAAAAACACACATGATAAAGGTGTGCAGACCAAACCAAGAGAGCCATAAAGATCCAAAAATGTGTGTATATGTATACATATATAGCCTGCCACCAGTCCAAGTAAGTGGCTCCCCTATCCCAAACCCTGCCCTTCAGCTCCAGTGGGAAAGTTCTGCTGGCCCCATCCTCACCTCTCCTCCAGATTCAGCATGGCCATGGCCGGCCGGCCTGCATGACTTTACCCTTCCCCCCATGGGCCAGTAGGAGGCCTGCAAGCCCTCCCACAACTCTGTAATGGGCTTAGGGAGCGCCAGCAGGAGGCCTGTGCATCTCCCCACCCCTCCACCCACCCAGGCTTGCATACCCCCTACTTCCCACTGCCAGTCTGGGTCCGTGTACCGCTTCACTCCATCCTGGCAGGAGGCCTGCATACCCACCTCTCCGCCCCTGGGCAATGCTGGGTAAGTGTTCTAGTGCAATATAAAGACTCCAATGAAGTAGCTAATATATTTTACTATAAAAATTGTAGAAAGATCACACACACACAAAAATTCTGCAACAACTTGAAAAACAAGCAGAATCTTTCAACTACAGTTAAGAAACTGGCAATGAATTGTACAAAATCAATAAAGGGAATTGGCTTGTCATCCACCAGTGTACAGAAAAATTTTGGATATACTGTGACAAAGTATCCATGTATGTGAAAGGGACCAAGTACAAAGAGCTACTGTGTCAAGCAGTAAATCTTAGGTCTGAGAGGAATGTGTGGAAAAGAGGGACAGAAAGATATTGGCTGTTCAATTAAAAGAGCTGGTACCAACAGCCACATGCTATACAGATGTTGCTATAGAGCCTACACAAGAACAACAGAAAAATACAAGTTTATAGATATGTCAGAGATCGTTAAAATCATGACTGTTTTGGAGAAATAGGGAAGTGTTATTTATTCCTTCTCATAGTACGAAATTTGGGGGCACCAAATGAATTAATAGTCAACAGCTTTAAAATGGAAGTATTTCTTCACACAATGCACAGTAAACCTGTGGAATTCTGCCAGAGGATGTAAATGCCAAGAGACTA